AAAAGATTGGGGATATGGCTCAGTGGTTAAGCGCGCCTGGGTTCAATCTGGGTTCAATCCCCAGGCATAGTGGCATATGCCTGTTATCTCAGAAACTCTGGAGGCTGAGGAAGGAGGATCACAAGTTCAAGGCCAGCCTCAGCAATTTATCATCGAGGCCTTATCTCAAAATAAAAAAGGCTGGGCGCTGGGGTTGTGGCTCAGTAGTAGAACACTTGCCTAGCACATGTGAGGCCCTGGGTTCAAGTCTCAGCACCACATATAAATAAATAAGGGTCCACTGACAACTAAAAAAAATCATTAAAAGAGCCAGGTACAGTAGCACACGCCTGTAATCCCAGCAGCTCAGGAGGCTGAGATGGGAGGATTGCGAGGTCAAAGCCAATCTCAGCAATGGCAGAGTGCTAAGCAACTCAATGAGACCCTGTCTCTAAATGAAATACAAAATAGGGCTGGGGATATAGCTCAGTGGTTGAGTRCCCCYRAGTTCAATCCCCAGTACCAAAAAAAGAGACATTTCATAGTCTCTTTAATTCCCAGCATGTTTCAAGTTCTCTTCACTGTCAACTCCAAATTCCCAAGTAAGCGCCTAAAAAGCCTGACTCAGACCCAAGAAGGAAGCAAGAGCAAACTCACACCAAACCAGCATTCCTCTGGAGCTGTTTTCTCAGCCACACAAACTCTCGGTAGCGGCGTCGCACACAGGAAGTTTTTGCAGTAAAAGCCTTGCTGTTGGTCTGCAGGAGGAAGTATGTGAAAGGAGTTAAGTGKAAAAAGACTAAGTTCACATGAGCTCCCCATCAGCACTTTCGCTGAGGAACCAAGCTATCCAGTCACAGTCATGATTGGGGTCCCCAGCAGGCAGCCTGAAAGCAATACCTCAAGCTCCTCCCTCTCCTCCCTCCTTTCTTTTCTTCCAAGTTTTCTATCTTGGGTCACTGGAAACACCCACAAACTGGTTCCACCTCAGCACAAGCCCTCAGCCCTAGAAAATGTTGACCCCAATACAGAAGTTTGACGCACTCACGTGGAGGAATATCTTATAATCCACATAAGAATTCCAGGAGCCCTCATTCTGCACGCGGGGGTCCTGAACACGCACAGTGATCACTTCCTGTAGATAAAAAAATGCTCCCTCAGCTTCAGCTTAGCCACACAGCAAGATAGCTTTAGGAACACAGGTTGCCAGATTTTCCCTTTCAACACCAATTTTCAATCATTTCTTCATTCACTCAATTCCACAAATATTTACTAAGTACCCACTATGTGTCCAACACAATTCTAGATATTGGGAACAGAGTGTGAACAAGAAAAAAAACCTCTGTCCTCAAGAAACTTACATTCCAATACTTTCCAACTAGTGGAAAAGTTTGTCAAAATGGAGCCTCACTTTTCAGCAGTGCTGCTGCTATTGATTTCCTTCTCCTAGCTTTATTTTGAGCTCATAAGAACCACCAAGGTATTATAGTGGAAAGAACACCACTGAGTAATGATTTGCACCTCTGTGTCTTCACTCCCCCTCACACCCCCTCTACCTGCTACCCACCCATTCCTGGAGACCATTCTTACCTCCTGCTCTTGGTTCTCTGACATCCTACACCAAACACCCATTGGAAGAAAACATCTAAGAGGGACAGAGGATATAGGAATAATCATGGTTAGTTAATATGCCTCTATTCTTATTGCTCTTTGCCAGGGCAAAACGCAAAAACTTTTAAGAAAAGAGTCCCCCTGAGGGATTTGCTTCCCTTCTTAGACCCCTACTGGGACCCTCCTCTACAAAGCCATCTCTACATCCCTCCTCTACAAAGCCATCTCTACATAAAGTACACTGGGATCTGCTGAGTTTGTCTCAGACAACCAGAAAGGCAGGTTCAGTTGAAAACAGAAACTCTTGCTTTGAGGACTGTGGGTGCAGCAGGTCTAGTGGGCGCTGGGAGTACAGCTTTGAAAATGAGCCTAACAGTGCCCCCTCCTGGCTACTTAGAGACAACCACATTCCCACAAATACCAATGCTCCTGAATCTCTCTCTTTGTCTTGCTAACCACAGTCACCTCCCAACAGGTGAATCATGGAGCTGGAATGCTCCAGGGAGCACCTGAGTGGGCTGCCCAGTTGCAGCCTTCCTTTATGGAACCTGTTCTCTGGAACTGGAGCCAATAGTTCTAATCATTTCCTCTCTCTCGACATGCCATCCGGTTTGTACCTCTGCCCAAGCACCCCACAGCTGCGCAGGTTGAGTCAGGATGCATTTTGCTCCTTTGTAAAGATTCATTAAAGCCTAAGCCCATGATTTCCCCCAGTGTGGTAGTTTACATGTATAGCGACATCGCCCACTCCGACAAGGGGACCATGAAGGCTGCAGCACAGGGTTACTCAAGTCCAAAGGGGCCCATGATGTCACCTTCTGTTAAAATACAGCACTAATCTTGTTACTCCTAGAACCACTCCAACAGCATCCTCCCTGGCTGCTGCCTCCACCCCCTTCCTCTCTCTTAAGAGCGGAACAATAAGGTTTAATTTCCCTTTCCAATTTACCTTGAAATGAAAACTGACTTCAGCCAATATGTATTGCCAACAAATGATCCGGGCTGACTCCTGGGAAAACAAGACTATCTCGAAGCTCTCCCTTTCCTCCCCCCTATGCCCATTCACACACCCACTCATTTTTACAGTCCCACAATTAATTTTAAACACATTCTCTTATTAGTTCTGCCTTACCATTAGAAGAGTGTGTAATGAGTTTCCTTCTATTTTATGTTTTGCTAACACAAGGCTAACGTTTCAAAAGAAGGAGAACTCATTTACAGCAAGAAATTAGCAGAGCAAACAGCTTTTGCAATTCTTTCCAATATACCAGAAGGTCTCTCTACAGACAGGCATTGCATGCAGAGACAAAGCTACACGGTAGATGACAAAATTGAGCTACACTGTGGAGTAAACCCAAGGTTTTGCAATTTTAATACCATATTAAACAGTATTCTTGCTGACAATCTGATTTTTCATCTAATGCAGTCACTACCTCCAAGGAGTCTTGAACTGAAAGGTAAAAAATTCCAAATCCTTCAAATGCCTTTTGTGTATCTCTGTGACAATTATATGATTTCCTTTTTTATTATTAAATTATTATTATGAAACAAACAAACAAAAAAAAAGAAATTCCAATTCCCTAACAACCCATGTATAACTTTCCACATGTAAGGAATCAAATGGCTGTGACCAAGAAGAACAGACATACTTTCTGTGAACAATTAACCTCGTTTTCAAAAAATTCATTTGCTCTTCTCTTTTCAAGCATTTGGTAAATTGCCAGCACAGGAACAGGGAATCAAATATTCTAAAGTGTCTTTTCATGAAAGTAAAGATAGGAAAAATAATGACAAGGAAGCCATAGTCATCCACACACTCAATGGAGCTCACATATCTCCTGTACCTTGAAAGGTACACCAAATTCAGAAGCATAATTTAGTAACAGAAAGGTCATCACACCTTTGGACTTAAGGAGTATTTTGGTAGGGACCTGAAACACTTCCATGTGGAAGTTCTTTTCCTTTGGGGCCAACATCACTTAAAAACAAGTAGTTATATACTGCCTTAAAAAAAAAAATCCCAGGACCCCTGAGATGCTGTATACTTAAATCTAGGTTTAAAGGACACTGACAAAGTTTTGGTTGTAACTTTCCTTAAAAATATGAACAAATACAAAAACATAGACCCCAAGTGACAATTCCTAGCAACTACTTTATCCATCATCTCCTTCTTATGGATGCCACTCCTCAAAGAAATGAAGCTCAGTTCTGCCCTTCAAGGAGAAGCAGGAAGTTCTCTCACACTTAGCTCYATAAATAGGAGATTGATCTGTGCATGATTCAAAGGATAGACTCAGTGACCCTCCCAGTTACAGAACTTAATGCTAATTTCACGGGCTTTTTCCGGGCTCTTTCAATTACTTTCAAAGTGTCCTTTACTCTTGGTGAGAACCTAATTGTTCACAAACTAGATTCCTTTTAAAGCATTCCAAATTTAACAATTCAAGGTAGCAATTTGAGGCCTCTGCCTCACCATTCTATCTCCCATTTAAACTACTTCAAAAGAAAAGTTAAAACCAAATCAGGCTATAAAAGTAGAGTGAGMCAAGAGATTATCATCCTTTCTTAGTTATTCTTGAACCCTTGGTGCCACATGGCAAATGGAAACTCAAAAAGTTCTTCCTAAATACCAACAGGTGTTAGAGCAAGTTCCTGTCTGACCAAACTCTGTGTGACTTCAACCGAGCATCTTTTTGTTCACCTGTCACCGGTTCCTCCTTCCACTTGTAAGTGACCAAGGCCAACACAATCTAGGTCAAGTTCTTTGTGTTGGAGTAAACTACCTGCTATCACATTGCCCCACCCCAGTCCTAGCCGCCTCGGTAAATGTCCCCAAACTCTTTTACTATAGCAACTCCTCTACCATTCTTAACAAACTAGGAGCAAAGGAGTTACACGGTCCTTTTCCTTTCCGGATTAAGCTTGGGGAGTTGGAAGGAAGATACCCTATACTTGCAAAGTAAACTGAAAAGCCAGGTTTCCTTTCTTGGATCTCCAACAAGTCCTCGCCTTCATTTCGAGTGGCGAAGTTGTCAAGCAAGGCTGACACCCAAGTGTCACTATCGACACTCCAGCCCACTCCCCCGCACCTGAAAGCTGCACCAACTCCCCGGGACCCTGCCCACGCCCCCTCACCTGAGAGCAGCACCAGCTCCCCACAGCGACACCGCCAGCACCCCACCATATAGCCCGAGTCACCGCTTCTCCTTCCGGGTGAGTCGCCTGTGCCGCGGTGCACGACGGGAGACGACTCTCGACGCGCCAATCACGGGTACCCAGGACGCCCCGCCCCTGCAGGCCCGGACTCTCAGTGGCTACCTGGTCCCAGGACGCGGTTACGCCCAGCCTAGTCCCGGGACTGGAGTTGGCKGCCTCTCAACTCAGCTGCAGGGCGGGCGCGGGCACACAGTGAGTGGTAACGAATGGGTTCTGACAACCAATCCGGAGCCTCGTCCCGCCCACCGCCGTCAAGTACAGCCAATCAACGTTCAAGAAGCATCCCGGGTCCCCGGGAGCTGAGACATTCTCGCCGGTGTCACCGTGGTTCCAGTTGTGTAAAGGGCAGTTTGTGGTATGGGACGTTCAGGGGAGAAAACACCCATATTTCTGTAGCCTCACTAAATTCCGAGAGAGCCCAGCTTGGACCCCATAACCTGCAGTTCCCCAGTGGAGCTATCAAGGGAATTCCCACTCAGATTCCGAAAGCCACAGATTAACCCGAAAACTGAAGTTGAAAGGGCCCAGCACCTCTCAGTGACTCGCAGAAAACTGTGATAGCAAACCTGACCCCAAGATGGCGACTGATTCCCGGAATAACCACCGAAGAAGGAAGACAGTTATTATGTAAAGTGGGTGTAACCAGGTCAAGGGAGGAACTAGGACCCCTGGCTGACCGCAAAAATTTGCTTTTGTAAGTCGCTTGCTTGCTTAGCAGTAAGCTGCTAARACAAGAGAGAGATGCCACCTACACCGAGCTTTGCGGTTTTTCCCTTTTTAACCCCAGCCCTGACGTTGATTGGGGGCCGCTCTCCTTTGCTGTGGAGCGAGCCCCGGCCGGTAATAAAGKCTTCCCATTGGAATACTGCTGACCGTGTGTAGATTATTTTATTATTAAGGGGATTTACTCGGCTGGCGGGATATAACATTCTGGAGGCCCAGCAAGATCCCATTACTCCCACGGTTCGCAGCCCAGATTGCCTAAGAGATGTGCCTTAGTCTCGCTCTGTTTTGAAAAAGTCCCTAACCACCCCCGGACCCCCGAACTTCTACCGTCTGTTTCTCTGTCCGGTGAGTTAACTCGGTTGGGGACAAGTCCCCGGGACAGGACAGACGTTGCTCCTGTCCCACTGGGGGCCTCCTAGTGTGGCCTAATCTGTTCTGTGTCTATCTGGTCATCTGTTGTGTGTCCGTCTGGGCTCTTTTTGGTCTCCTAACCGGGGTTCTCTCTCAGGCCTTTTTCCTGTACCGGACATCATGGGACAAGGAAACTCTACAGGAAACAACACATGTACCCGTTTAACCTGTTTCTTAAATAATTTTCAGGATTTCTAAAGGAGGACAACTGACTATGGAACCTCAGTAGATGGTTTCAACTTGAGAAAGTTCTGTGAGATTGACTGGCCCTTCTTTGATGTGGGATGGGCCTTCGGAAAGTTCCATAAACCTAACTTTAGCCATGGGGGTTCCAGGGGTCATATTTCGAAAACCCAGCCACCCCTACCAAATTCCATACATTCAAGTCTGGATTGATATTCTGAGAAACCCCGATGGCTAAAAAGGTGTTTTCCTGATGAYAGAGCCCACCCCAGAAGGTGCAGAATTATATTAGTCACTAAGCCTAAACTTGCGCGGGTAAATCAGACTCCCCTCCTGTCCTCCCAGCAGCAGATGAAGAAGAACCTCATCCTACCGCCCCTCCTCCGCCCTACCCAGACCAGACTCCCCAAAATGACCAGGGGGCCATTGGACCCTTCTCACACCTGAACCAGAACCCCTTACTTACACTGGTCCTGCCCCGGTGCCCTTGCTCCCCTTACAAATGCTAAAGTCCATGTTTCCAACAGCACAAAGGACCTACACCCCTTCCAACCCGAAGATCTGGTGTATATACATTATTTTTTTTTTTTAAAGAGAGAGAGAGAGAGAGAGAATTTTAATATTTATTTATTTATTTATTTTTTAGTTTTTGGCAGACACAACATCCTTGTTGGTATGTGGTGCTGAGGATCGAACCCGGGCCGCACACATGCCAGGCGAGCACGCTACCGCTTGAGCCACATTCCCAGCCCCTGGTGTATATACATTAAAAGGCTGCCTACCACCTCTCTGGAGCTAAGGTAGACAGGACCATGGACCATGATCCTGACAACTCCCACAGCAGTAAAAGTAGCTGGGAAAACAGCCTGGATCCACTGGACACATCTCAAGCCAGCACCTGCTCCCGATCCCACCGAGGAAAGTGCAGACAAATGGACCATTCATCAGACCAAGAACCCCTTAAAGCTAAGACTTATTCAGGATTCATAATATTTTCCCTAGCTGCCTTAGTTCCCCTTACAATAGCTGCTACACCTGCTTGCCCTAATGACTGCGGGACTATCAGGAAAACTAAAACACCTAAAAGTTTTGTTAGTTATGGAACTGTCCATTCCTCATGCTATCAGTCAGCCTCTAAGTGTTCTTATGGGGGAAGTTTTTACTGGACCGGAAAGGCTAAACAACCCACCACCGGGGTGACCTGCCCTTGGGGAAATTATTGGAAAGATTCAAGTTATCAACCCATTCAGTTCTGTTGGAATTATTATTCTACTGGGTTGATAGCTGACGGGGGAGGAGTCCAGGACCAAGCCAAAAACACTCTACTAGCTATCCGGATCACTCAGTGGCTACATGTCAAAATCCCGAAAGCCAAACTTGTCAATATTCTTGAGAACCCCTTCCTGAAGGGGTAGTCACCTCAGCTCACCTTGTATTAAATCTCACCAGCAGCCCCTTAGCATTAGGTTGTTGGATGTGCCTAAAACCTGGATTTTCCACTACCCTAGCAGTCGCTGTAAATTTCACAGATAATCCTCTCAACTGCTCTAGCTAAGTAAAGAACACTGGGCCGAAAATTTCAGGAGTAGAACTGTTTCAGCCAACATCAATTTGTCTGATATCAAATGGCACTACAGAGGTAGGAAAAATCCCTGGGTTGGGCTACAACCAGTCCTTACTATGGATGGATCCAGCCTACTAACAACATATACTACTTAAAAACCCAAAATGTCTCCCTCCTTTGCGGCACTACTATATATAATTGTTTACCCCCAAGTGGAAAGGGACATGTATCCTAGTTCTCTTATTCCCAGCCGTAGATCTCATCCCTGGAGATGAAGAAATAGAGATACCCCTAATTGGAAAGACAAGGGCCAGAACAAAAAGGGCTGTCCAGATTATCCCCCACATAGCCACTCTAGGCATATCTGCTGGTCTAGCTATGGGCACTACAGGAGTCACCACCTCTCTAGTGTCATTTAAAAGTCTTTCTCAACAGCTTATAAGTGACATGGAACAAGTGACTGAATCCATTCTCACTCTCCAAACCCAGTTAGATTCTTTAGCAGGAGTGGTTCTCCAAAACAGAGGAGGACTAGAGTTACTCAAGGCAGAACAGGGTGGATTATGTATATTTCTCCAAGAGGAGTGCTGTTTTTATGTAAATCGATCAGTTGTTGTTAGAGATGAGATAAAGGCCCTTCTGGAAAACATCGAGACACAAAGAAGGACTTGAGTCTCAAGGGTCCAGGTGGCCTTTTTCCTGTGGAATCTGGCAGATGCTCCRTCCATTCCTGTGCCCCTTAATTGTCATAATTGCCTTGATAACCATAGCCCCCTGTGGGTTTTTTTAAATTATTTTTAATTTCTTAATATTTATTTTTTAGTTTTCGGCGGACACAACATCTTTGTATGTGGTGCTGAGGATCAAACCCGGGCCACATGCATGCTAGCTACCACTTGAGCCACATCCCCAGCACCCCCTGTGTTTTTAACTATGTTACCCACCCACCCCACCCCCACTCCCTTACATTCAACAACAAATCAGACCAGCTAAGCTATTAGTATTACATAGCCATTACCAACAACTCCCTACTGGTGAACTTGAGGACCTGTTACAAGGATTTGTCACCCCAAGGATCAAAAGCAGTAGGGAGGGGCTAGGGTTGTGGCTCAGTGGCAGAGCTCTTGCCTCACACAGTGAAGCACTGGGTTCGATCCTCAGCACCACATAAAAATAAACAAAGATATTGTGTCCTTGTATAACTAAAAAATATTTAAAAAAAAAAAAAAAAGCAGGGGGGAATGTGATGATAGCAAACCTGACTCCATTTTGTATAAAGAGACAAGATGGCCACTGATTCCCAGAATAACCATCAAAGGAGGAAGACAGTTATGTAAAGTGGGTGTAGGGCTGGGGGTATATCCCAGTTGGTAGAGTGCTTGCCTCGCATGCACAWGGCCCTGGGTTCAATCCGCAGCACCACAAAAAAAATAAAAATAAAAAACTAAAATAAAGTRGGTGTAACCAGGTCAAGAGAAGAACTAGGGCCCTTGGCTAAGAGCAAAAATTTGCTTTTGAAAGTCACCTGGTACTTCTAAATCTTGGAAGAGCCAGTGCAAAGCACAAAGGTTTCTTCACTGTGTAGTGGAGTTCATGACAAATAAAGCATTGTTTCTCAAACTTTTTGGTCTCAGGATCCCTTTACATAAACTCTTAAATATGAGTAAAGATAAAGATGGGCACGGTGGCACATACCTGTAATCCAGTTACTCAAAAATTTTATTAAGCCCCTCAGGGAACTTTTGTCCATGTAGTATATTAACTGGGTTAGAAATTAAAATTGAGGGGCTGGGGTTGTGGCTCAGTGATAGAGCGCTCACCTAGCACGTACAAGGCAATGGGTTCAATCCTCAGCACCACATAAAAATAAATAAATAAATAAAGGTATTGTGTCCAACTACAACTAAAAAATATTTAAAAAGAAATTAAAATTGAAAGAACCTGGGTGCTGTGGCGCATGCCTGTAATCTCAGCAGCTCAGGAAGCTAATTCATAAGCATCACAAGTCTCGGCAATTGAGCAAGATCCTGTCTCAAAATTAAAAATAAAAAGGGCTGGTATGTAGCTCAGTATTAGAGAGTCCCTGATTTCAATCTCCAGTACCCATAAATGAATGAA